ACCTGAAATAAAACACAGAAGAAGAAGAAAATATGGAGCTTTAATTTGACTTTCCCTTTCTCCAGGGTTTTTGGGAAACGTGGTCGTAATTTTTGAGAAATAAAACACCACGTGCAGCTTGAGCTGGAACCTGAGTATTTTTTATTTATTTTTTAAATCTCAACCGAAACGTGTCCCAAGATCAAAAGTAAAAGTATTTAAAACTGTCAAATAACGAAAGTTGGCGCTGAATCCTTTGTCAGAATCCGACACCGCGTCGACAGCGTGAGCGGCGGCAGCAGCTTCACTGCTCCATCTGTGTCCATACAGGATGCGTTCAGGCACGGTCTTCAGTGTAGGGCGCACGTGTTTTCTTGGCAGCGTTCAGAGCTCACCGAGAAGAAAATAGACTGGAAGTGTAAAAATACCCGAGCTGTCGGGCAGCCTGGGAGGACAGCTGGATCGATTCAAAATAGGAGCGAATCTTGTTTGGACAAACACGACAAACACTTCCTGTGCACACACGTTTCTGATTGAAATTATAAGTTTGATTTTGGCAAACGTTTTGTGTGGATGTTTTGTGTTAAGACGAAATGAAACACTGTTTGGTTTTAATGAAGCAAAAAAAAGGATTTGTGAGGGAGAAAGTGTTAAAAGAGTTTCTTCAGAGGGAGGTGTTGTTTTGGTCGTGTTGGCACAGATACCAAAAAACAAGAAGCTGTGGCTCTGCTCTCCACAGGTGAAAACTGTCAGTCAGTAACGATCGCAGGTGTCCTCCATCAACCTGCTCCTGCATCGCGTCTCTCTCCTGTTGAGCCGCTGATTTAACGCTTTGAGACAAACACTCACTGTTTTTGTTTGTGTGTGTGTCGGCGGCTCAGAGAACCTGCTGGGGGCTCTGCTGCGGATCAAGGAGGTGATCCGACGACGAGTGGAGAGCAGCGAGGAGGAGGACACGGACGAGCGAGGGATGACCCAACGCCTGGAGGACATCCTCCGAGAGTCCAGCGGTGAGGAACACACACACACACACACACACGTTCTCATTTTAAAACAACGATCTCTGTCCAGAAATAACCTCAGTCCTTACAACACGGCAGAAAACACGTGTCACGTGACCATTCACCCTCACTGGGCATGTGCGTGCCGGAGTAAACAGGAAGCAGGTTGTCTACTCAGTTACTACAAACGAGGAACAATGGTGAAAAAAGGCCGGAGGTTTCTCTGCTCGGGCCGATGACGAGGTGGAGGCGTCACCGAAGGTTACACGTGAGTACGAGGCGGCGACGGCGGCGGGAAACACAGATTCACAGCTGCTGATTTCGTCCGGGAAAAAATGGGTCACGTGACGAATCATGGAAGGAAACGTTGTGACTGATGAGAAAACTTATCGAAGCGAAGGTGTGTGTCTGCGTCATCGTTTCCAAAGGTCTCCGCGGAGTCGCGTCGACGCCGGGAGTAAACGTAGAAAAAGTGACGCGTTGTAAAAACTGCACGTGTTCAAGCGCCGGAGCGGAGAGTCCTGGAAACGCTGCTGGACCTGTTTTAGTTTGGAAACTCCGGGGGTTGTGTTGTCGTCTGGACGGGCGAAAAACAGAGACCTTTGGAAACGATGGTGTTAGACGCCCACGGTCGCTTCTGATTGGCTCTCATCAGCCTCGAGGTCAGTGTTTCTGACCTTGTTGCTTTTGCTCACAGCTGCTGTTTTAAAGCAGCAACTGTCTTCGCCGTTCCTCGTTTGTAGTATTTTGTGCAGCTAATCAACCTGTGTGTGTTCAGGTGTGTTCAGGTGTGTTCAGGTGTGTTCAGGTGTGTTCAGGTGTGTTCAGGTGTGTTCAGGTGTGTTGGTGTGGACGGGTGTTTCCTGTACAGAGCCAAACCGCTCGTCTGGACAGAGATCGTTGTAGTTTTAAAAACGCCGTTTTCTTAGATTCTGTTTCGTCTCTCCTGCGAGACGCTCTCTCTGTTCTGTCCTTTTCTTTCTGTGGCACTTCCTAATTCGTTTCCATGACGACTGCAGGTCCTCTAGTCGCCGGGCGGACCAAAGACTTTGTGCAGAGGATTTTGGCGGCCAGCGCGGGCAGTCAGAACCAGCGCAAAGAGCCCCCGCAGGAAGGAGACGAGACCGCGGGGTAAACTCCCCCGGCGCCGCCCCTCCCTCTTCCCTCCTGCCTCCTCCTTCCACGCACTCCCCCCACCCGGCGCCGCCACCAACCGACCTGACCAAGCTTCTCTTCACCACCTCCACTCTCACAGCGTTTAAGTAAAAAGCAAAGAGGTGAAGCAGAGGTGGAGAGGCTGGGGAGATAGAAGATAGAAGAGGAGGAGGAGGAGGAGGAGGAGGAGGAGGAGGAGGAAGAGGAGGAAGAGGAAGGAGTAGTCTAAACAAATTGGGAGTAAATTGCCACCCTGCTCCCTGCAGTCCTCTCCTGTTGGCCCTCCAAACAGCAGCCGTCTTCACCGCTCTGTGTCTGCAGGCTGCACCACAACCACCACCCGACCAGAGCTGCTGCTGCCGCTGCTGACGTCTCTGTATTCTGTGTTCTGTCTGTGTGTGTGTGTGTGTGTGTGGGTGTGTGGGTGTGTGGGTGTGTGTGTGTGTGTGTGTGTGGGTGTGTGTGTCTGACATGTAACATACTGTATGAGCGTGTATAGTGTTCCTCTCTCCCTCTGTGTGCTGTATTTGTATCCCATTGTGCCTATGAATAGACATTGCACTGTTTTGTAGATGGTTGTAGTTGTCGGCAGGGGACCGTTAGTGAGCCGAGGGCGAGGGGGCATTTGAGGATAGAGGAAGTGCTAGAATAAGGAAGTGGGAGGAGCCCAGGCCTGGAAAACAAAGAATCTTGTGTGTGTGTATGTGTGTGTGTGTGTGTGTGTGTGTGTGTGTGTATGTGTGTGTGTGTGTGTGTTGTTTTCACTGGGCTCCTATAGAAACACTGCATACCATTTGGTTTGCATCGGCTTCTAAAACGTCAGTAAGTGTTGTGACACACAACAAGCGATGGAGTCCTGATGCCAGACCAGCGTGTTTGTTGTGGAAAAATCCTTGGAGCTTTAATATCACCCCTCCCTCCCCTCTGTAACACTCCTCCCCCTCCCTCCCCCACCCCACCCCCACCCCTATCAAAATGTAAGCAAAGTTAAAAAACGAAAGAGGAAACTGCACCTTAATCCAAACTGACCAAAGATAACTGAAACTGCTGAACCACTCAGATGCTGCCAACCATCACCACATCTCTCTAGTTTAAAAAGTGACCGACACACTAACTGAAACTCTTCTTTTTGTTGTTTTGTTTTTGTCATGTTTACCTGCATGCGTCCTGAAAGGACGGCGTTACTGAACAGACTTTAATCCCCTCCACCTAAATGCACTACCATCATGGTTTGTTCAGCCTCTCCGCTCTGCAGCCTGGTGCTCCTTTAGCTTATCTGCAGTGGCTTTATTTTTACCCACAAAAGGGAAGTGTCCTCAATGCCTTCCCCGAGCCCTCGCCTCAACCCCTGACCGGATTATGTAGCGCACCTTCCTGAATTGCAATGACAACTAGAGAAAAACACTTGTAGATCTAGAAAGCAAATAAGTTTAATCTGTTTTTTTTATTATTATTATTATTATTATTATTATTATTATGATTTTGTTGTTATTTGGCAGCGATGCCACAGCCCACAAAGTGGGCGTCAGTCTTGAGAGTTGAAATCTGCCTTTCTCCTGTGGTCTTTGCTGAAGCTGTAGACCAATCTGTCCAAGGTCTCTAAATGTTGTTGGACATAAAGTGTCAAGGACCCTTTGAATTGCACTGTGGTAAGAGCAACTAAGCACCTTTTGAAGAGGACTCCCGCTCCTCCAAAAGAGAAAAGAAAAAAAAAAAAAAAAAAAGACTCTTGGCACCTTTTTTCTAAAGACAGATATTGACTGAGAAACTTGTGGGCGCCCAGCGCTTCGTGCCCGTCGTGGTGGTCTTGGTTTGTTCCGGTATGGTGCTACTGTATGACGACAAAATAAAAAGCAATGCAAACCTGAGCGGAGGCATCAGGCAGTGAACTGCTGACTGGGTTTTGGCCTGTGAGCACATATTGTTGTAATGGGCAGTTTGTTTGCATAATGACGCCTTTCTGAAGTGCCTGGAGCTTAAAGCCACAGGGACCTGTGTTATTACGCCTGATCTTAAACCCTGTTACAAGGACAAACGTAACCCATGACTACTGCTCCGAGCTTGGCCTCACTTTACTTTACTTAGGGAAAAAGAAAAAAGAAAAAAAAGAAAAAAGAAAAGAAGCTGCAGGCTTGTGTAGGACCCGTTCACACACTCAACTAAATGTTTTCCTCTCAGATTAAAACCTTTACATGGAAACAGCAGCTGGCACCAGTTTCTGTGCACATCTTCTCTGGGAAATATATGTAGAGGAGTGGCTGTTAGCTGAGCACCCCCCCCCACACACACACACACACACACATACACACACACACACACACACACACACACCCCTCCCGTTTGAAAGCTGCTGCTCTATGTAAACACTGTCCCCACCCCCCCCCTCCCCCTCCCTGTTCCATGGAAACTCCACTTCCTGTGTCAGTCAGAAGAGGAGCAGCCGACCTTAAACGCCTCGCCTCCCGGAGGTCTCGCTCACGGTCAGTTTGAAAGCTGTGGATACAAGAGTTCAGGGCCGTTTAGTTTCTGTATCCTTCTCTTTTCTTTTTTTTTTTCTTTTTTTTTTTTTTTTAATTCTGGGAAAATGTTCCTGGTGGTGGTTTGAATGAAGAACTGTACTGTAAACAGAGGATTCCTGTTGTTGAGCTGGAAACGTTCTGCTGCTGGTGAACAAAGCTCTTTAAGCTCTGATGCCAAAGACTGATAGTCTGTGGCTTCGCAAAGAAAAAGCTGCAGCAGCAGGAGGCTCTGATGTCACTGAGGCTTCTCAGACATCACCACAGAAACCTGGTCCGGGTTTGGATTTTTTTTTTTTTTTTTTTCGTGTGATTATTTTACACTAATGAAAAAGAAAAAAAAAAAAAAGAGAGAGAGAGAGAGACGGATGATCGAGGTCCAACACTGAGGCCAGTAGAGTAAAAAAAGAAAAGTGCTCTCTCTGCTGCTGAGAAGTGAATTCCTCCCTCCTCCCACTTTTCTCCCAGGGCTTGGGAAGCGGGCGACGCTGCCAGCCGAGTCACAGGATCTCATGCTGGCAGCGGCTTCCTTCACATGCCCTCGTGCAACAACAAACAAAAGGAGAGGAAACGGCCGTGCGCATCGCCGTGCTGAAGTTTAAAATATCGCACAGCCCCATCTGGAGGAGGAGGAGGAGGAGGAGGAGGAGGAGGAGGAGGAGGTCGAGGTCGTCGGGTTTAACAGAGATTCCACTTTGAATGCATAAGTGCGTCCTGATGTTTTCCTCCCTCTCAGAGTGCCGTTACGTAACACACAACACCATCTGCTGTGTACGTTCATCTATATGCCAAAAACTGAACCGAGGAGAGGACTGTTGTAACGCAGCGAATTCCTGCACAGATCCAAACAACAAACGCGACGCGGCGCCGGGTTTTAGCCAAGCTCATGTCAGGGCTGTAACTGACGGGCTTTTTGTGTCACGGTAGATCCCTTTAACTGTGAAGCTTTAATGGAGGGAGGGGCCAGTCTTGGCAAGGCCACTTGTCTCTGCTCACATTCCTGATTGAGTTTCCCAGAAGGCCTGTGTTTATGTGTACCTGGAAGCAGGAGGCAGATATTTGAGGGGGGAAACTGGAATGACCCAAAGACGTGGGGCTGTTTGGACTCGAGGCTTCAGCCGGGTTCAGAGAAGTGATGTTCTCAGCTCGCACATTTGTCCGGCTCTGACCTAATATGGACGGTGACTTTGCAGAAAAGCTGGGTGATTCTTATCTGGGTTACTTCCTGGTTGGGTGTTGCCGTCTGACACAGAAGTAAACAGTCAGGAAACTCGTGTGCTGACTGGTTTTTCTGTCCTCACGCTGAGAACTGGATCTCGGCTGTTGAGGAGGTCGGTGAGAGTTTGAGATGAACGCAGGAAGAGCAGATTCACTCTGGTGCTTTTCGTGCATGACCTCGAGCCGTGGCCTGTAACCCTTTTGATATCCACTGGAGGCTTGAACCAAAGCGTCTCTGTCACATTTGACATTAAATTTAAAGGTTTATTCATTAAAAAAAAAGATTTTATTTTGAAGTGTTGATCCATAAGAAGATCTCCTCTCTCAGGCTTCTCTCTGGAGCTCCAGTAACAACAGGTCTGTGAGCCAATCAGAAGAGAGGAGGCAAACGTCCATCCTTCTGCCAGTTCATTTTAATTTAGGAAATTCAGATTCGTGACGTGCTGTAAACAGTGCTACACTACTAGTACAATAAATTAGCTGCAGGGTTTTATTCAGTGTGCTTGTAAAAAAGACAGGAAAGGAGATTCTGCTGTGAAACGCCTCCAGTGGATATTTGAACACAGACACGACCACATCGCGACCGTAAATTATTGGACGGCAGTTTTCATACGTGAACGAGTTTCCAGCTTCTGTAGAGTCAGGTCGTCCGTGTCACTGTCAGTCCAACAATTAGAAACCTGTAACTTGGGCTCTGACGTTTTATAGACTAAATGATTCACTGATGGATAGAAACGTTGCTAAAATAAGCCCCTGATGTCCTGACAGGTTTCCGGTTCAGCAGCTGCCTGTGTCGATGAAGACGTCCACAATCTGAAAGCTTGAAAAACACTAACGTGAAACTCAGTCAGACCGGTGAGGACAGGTAGACGGTGTCGTGTCTCTCTCTCTCTCTCCGTCGCCACCTTTTCATGTGACCGCGGTGGGGTTTCTGGACCAGGCCCGGCCCGGCCCCGGCGGGCTGAATAGACCCATCAGTAAGCCTACACTGGTGGGACGCTGCTGACCCCCGGGTGCCCGTCCCCTCTCCGCTCCAGCGCTCACATTGTTGGAGACACTCAGGCTTCTCCGGTTTCAAAGGCGACGGGCCTCCGGGGCAGAGGAGGCCGGGGGAAACCGCACTTAGCCGGGGCCTCTGAGAAGTTTATCTGAAACCTTTTTAATCCCCCTCCACCACCTCCGCCTCCGCCCCCCCTCGAAGCCCTGTCACACTCTGACAGCTGCAGAGGAGTCGCTGCCGCCTCCTGTGACGGCCTGCGTCTTGATGCCCCCGTCTCCCTTTGTCACTGACCTGGAAACCTCCATCTGATGGGGGGGAGGGGTGGGTGGGAGGTGTGAGCTCAGACCTGCGGGTCCACGTGGAGGTTTCTTTAAAGGTGGAGCTGAGCTGGAAGAAGCAGCTCCAGTCTGTGCCTCTGATGTCTTATCATTACGTTACGAGCTCTGCATCTGTTTTTATGAACCATGAATCTCTGGCGATCTTTCAAAAAAAAAAAAAACCCAGAATGCCGTTTGAAGATCGGCGTTTCACTGTGAGTGATGAGAATCCTGCATGAGCGAACAAATCCTCCGCCACAGCTCCAGCAGCTCTGCTTGTTTTAAAGAAGACATTTCTGAGTTCGTGTCTTTCT